GGAAGTGGAGACAAAAAGTAAAAAAATATTTAAAAAAGAAAAAGTGTAAGAAAGTTTGAAAAAAAGTGATTATTTTTTATAAAGAAGAATTAGAGGAAAATGAGAAAATGAGAAGAAGTTTTGGTGAATGTTATAGTAAAAAGCTTTCCCTCTAAAATGAATGGAAGTGTGTGGAAGTTGTTTATATCCTTTTAAATTTGTACTCAAACATCTTCAAAGATTTAAATTAATTATGATTTACCAGTTTATGAAAAAAATTAACTCCTTTAATCACGTATCACAATATGTAAATTTTTTTAAGATGATGTCTCTTAAGTATATAATTAGGGATTTCATGTTTAGTCAATGTCTATAAAAAATTATTTGTTAAAAAATTAACTTTTTAAATAAATCTAATATACTGAGTGATTAGTTTTTAACTTTTAGTTAAAGAATATTTACAAGAATATTTATGAGAGAGAGAGAAGAGAATTTTATTTGCTCTTGATGTAGATAAAGCTGTCGAAGAACAATCTGACTTCTTTAAAACGTAAAAAACTAAAAAAGTTATACAGATAAATGATTAGATAGATTTTTAATCAACATAAAAATTAGTAATTGTAAAAAAATAAAAAATAAATATTTTGTCTATATTCAAGTTATACAAATTTAATTTAAAACAAAATCGTAGTTATTCAAAATTATATATATATATAAATCACTCTGTAAATAACTATTTATTTTATAAATATTTTACTCTCTTCACTCTCTGTCACTTTAATTTTTATTTGAGTATTCTCCTGTCATGAGGTGAACTTTACATTTCTAACATGTATTAGATAATATCTTTTGTATTTTTTTTTATATCAAAGTAATAATTTATTATCTAAAAATAATTAAATACAAAAAACAATTTCTTCAAAATTCAAATATTGTTGTTCTTATGTATCATTTTTATATTTATTTTAATATAATTTATATGTTAAAAATTATTTTTTATTAAAAAATTAATTATAACACATAATATAATTAAAAAAAATTATTGATTATAAATTTTAGTTATATATATACAATAAAGAATTATCACGTGCATTAATATTGTATATACTAAAATGTTTTAATCAAAATATCAAAAAATAAATTAATGAAATGAAAGATTATACAGAGCCGCAGACACACATATGATTACTTGATTTTGGTAAAGATACATATCCCTGGGGTAAATTGTAATTTTATCCCCTTTAATTCTTGATTAACAATTTTGATTATTTATTTTTAATTATGTTATTTTATTTATTTAATTTTGAAAATATGCAATTTTTGTCGAACCGCTAAATTTATATACAATAATAGTTTAAATTTATAAAAAAGTATTCGTTCAGAAAGGTGAAAACTTAATAATATTTTATGTTGTCATGTTATTGCATAAATGTGACATTACATGTGCGCAAATTCAAAAATATAGCAAAATTTTAAAAATTAAAAAATAAATTACGTAATTAAAAAAGAGAACCAAAATTATGAATTAAGAGTTAAATAGAAAAATGACAATTAATTCAATAACTTTAGTATCCAAATATATATATATATATA